TTGTAGATGTGCAATGGTGTTTAAAAAGAGTCTTATGTGTGGGCACTATTTCTTAACACCTTTAGTTGTGAAGTTTAGTCCACCATTCACGTTTGTCAATATGACACCTCTAACACTTGAATTGACATGTGTGAGGTCAACGGAAGCTGTGGAATTGACGAAAATTAGTCGTAAAAATAAGTTGTTCCATGGGCATTCATTGGCTGGACTCTCGCCAAAGAGGAAGATACGAGGGCTTATCGACGAACACCAAAAGAGACAGGCGAGTCCACAAGTACTTTCTCCAAACCCTTCAAGTTCACCAAAATCGCCCTCATACAGCAACTCTGTAAACACGCAAAACACTCATGCAATTGGCCAACAACCAACATCTCCAATTTTGACAAGTGGTAGTGTATCGTACTTACAAAGGAGTGTATCTGATATGACAGACGAACGGAGAGAAACAGTCACAATAGCTCCTTTTGGGTCTGCGAGCTTGACTGTTGCAGCTTCAACTGAAATAATATCATACAGTGTAAGGGTGACGGATGTTACAAAAGGGTTTGGATACGACCCGGCTGCAACGACATCAGCGCCGATTAACTATTCACACAGCAGAATAGATATTCCCGACTTAGTTATTGGAAAAAGGTATTATTTGAGGCAAAAGAAAGAAGGGCGCACCATTACGTTTGGGTGTCCATACTATTTCAAAAACATGTCTCGTGGGTTTGTCAAAATTAAGGGTTTTGTTACGATTCCTCCCGATGGTTTAAATTACTTGTACGCGCCATGTCAGGTCAGGAAAGATGTTGGTAGTGCACTTCCAGACACGTTAATATTTGAAGGAAATAATGGGACAAGCGACACGATTGAGATACAAGTAGGTGAAACCAAAACAATTCATGTCAACGATAAAAACCTCTTTATGAGGATAGTCCCTCAAAAGTGGGAAGGAAAGCAAACGGATGCGTTGAAAATAGTAGTTATGCCACATTACATCTTTTCAAATCAAACAAAGCTTTCACTGACACTTGAACCTTGTGGACTGAAGGTCGAAGCCAAAAGTGATATTGCAGTTCACACCCCACAAATCAAATTCAAAACAGAAGAAGGAGGACGTAGTTACAAATTGGACCTGACACAGACCGACGAATACCAAGTCATGGTCAAAACAGGAAGTTATTACTCAATTTTCAACTTGAGAACTGAAAATTTGAAAGGTACATTTGTGACGACGTTGACGGGGACAAACACCCCATACATTCGTATCGACAACCGGTCTGATAAAAGCTTCTTGGTGAAACAGAGTTGCGAAAATGGGAAGTACACAATGACAGTGCATGCAAATAGGTCGATACCATTTGCGTGGGTCGACCCCATTGGCGAGCGAAAGATTTTTGTCAACGACGTCGCAGTGGACCCGCTCAAAATTGAAGAGGTGTATGAAATCAGTAACCAGCGTGTGTCTATCGACATCGACGGGAGTACGACTGTACTTGTCATTGGTGCCGAAAAGAGGAAGACTGAAGAAATTATATGGACATTAAGTGTGTGCATCCCTGTGTTAGGAGTATCGTTGTTTGGACGAAATGCCCAAGAACTGTTATCACTGACTGTCAATACTATCAAAGTTGAGCTGATTCAAATGAACAGACATATTGGCTTAGAGGCTCAATTTGACTACATCCAATTGGATTACCAGGGAGTCAATTTAAGGGTATTACCAGTCATCATTTCGCCACGACCAATGGAGTGGATTTATGACCGAAACAATGCATTCTTCCATATTGGCCTCCTCTTGGCGACGCCAAATCAAAACAATTTAAAGAAGATGTGGTACATCTCACGAGCAACGATCACTATGCAACCGCTTGAGGTCTCGTTAAAATTGGACATTTTGCAAAGTCTCTTCCAAGCGTATTATGAGTATCCCGCCCTCTTCATGTCATTGGACGACTCGGATTCAACGCCGAGTGAAATTCGTTTAATCATCGACAGAGTTATTATCAATTCGATTGATGTCAACATTTCAATAGAGAAGGGGGCACAAAAGCCACCCAAACACATGACAGTACTACGAACGTTATATGATGTAGTTGATATGGACGTAGACAGAATCCCAGTCAAGTTGTGGCAGCAGAAGTACTTGAACAAGAGCTTTTCGCAAACAACGTTTTGGAGGCAAATCAAAGAGAAGTGGATGGATGATTTGGGGCAGCTGAAGTGGGTTGTGATTGGGAAACTCTTTGGACTTCGAGCTGTTGGAAATGCGCAAGACAATCGTCGCGAGACGACAGAAAAGTTCCAATTGTGTGATGTGAACGAGTTGAATGATGAGAACAAAGCAAGCATTGACATGTTCTTTGGGAGAGAAGAGAGTGTGTGTTTGAAAAAATCAAGACGGGACAAAGAGCCTTCGCACGCACAGAAAGACGTTCCGACTGGGATAGTCGAGGCACAGCAATCGACCTTTGATTACTCTGTTTTGGACGCGACAAAGAATTTGGGGACTTCTGTTGTACGAGGAGTGAAAGGTGTGTGGAAGACTTCAATTGGAATGACAAACATTGCTGGGACACAAAAAAGGAGTTTGGCACCAGCGGGATTCATGGGAGGCGTCTTGGTTGGGGCTGCTGGATTTGTGTTGAAGCCATTAGATGGTGTGATAGGCATATTTAAAGGGTTGAACGATGGGATGACTGGTGTCACTTTTGGCCAAATTGCAAAAGAAAGAATGCGTCCTGTGAGGTATTGTAAGTATGGGCTGACCAAATTTGACTATTTTATATCGCAAGGATGGTCACTTTTCATGGAAGGATGTCCACAATACCAGAGCGATGGGTTCACATCATGGCAAAAGCAAACTAAGGAAGACATGATCATTGCGATGATCTTCACGTGTGTCTCATTGATTTGCGTGAAAAAGAAAATCGGGGAACTTGCGGAGTTTGTGTGGCGAGTTCCATATGTGAAAATCGATTCGTTTGGGTTTGATGGGAACAACATTGTGTTGCAACTGAAAGTAGAAATGAAATCCGGTCTTTTCAAGAAAAGGAACACATTTAAAATTGAAGATTGGCCTGTCGATAGAATCCCTGAGATGAAAGAGATGATCGACAAAATACGGGGACAGTATGTTGCAATGAGATGAAATCATTTTGTTTTTGAATAATTAATTTATTAATTACCTTGTTTCGATTAAGTATTAGAAATATTACTATGAAAAGTATTAATACCAACGACAACCAACGAATAAACAATAGTATATAAAAAACAGTTTGCTTTACAAATCTTTTATTTCAGCGAGAATTTCAGATATGTCAATGTCATCGACTTTTGCCTCTCCAATTGAGTTGTTGTCCACTTTGCTTGGTATCTTCGGTATAATAGGGATTTTTGTGGTTCGGATGAGCGGAGACGCCTTGGACAACGTCTCGAGCGTTTGTGCAAATTGCTCGGGGAGGGACTTCTGCTTTTTGAGTTTTTGGTTAACGAAGATATCTTTAAACACGATGCCTTTTGATTTGACCGTCTTTTTGTGGTGTTTCTTCTCAGTTTTCTCTCTGTGTTTTGTCGGTTTTTTTGCGTCCTTTAAATTTGATTCTTTCGACGTTTTCGAGAGGGACGCACTTGATAGAGAATTGGTCTTTTCGTATGAAGAGGATCTTTGTTTTTGAGGCACTGGAGAAGGCGGCTTTATCGCGTCTTTACACTTTTGAAGTTCTGTGAAATCGACGACGGAGAACATGTTTGTTAAGAAGTGTTGCGCGACTTTTATCGAAGAGGGTCTCTACTCGTCACATCTTTTTCTTGTTGCCAAATCTATGAAACAAACTTCTTTACAACATGCAAGGAGTGAAGAAGCAATATTGTTGAGATCGACATTGTCCAACCATTGTTCTGTTGGGAAACACCGTTTTAAGTCGAACAACAGAAGATCGGCGTGTGTCTTGCATTGAGTTTTTCTCTTTTTCATTTTTCGACAAACAAACAATTTTTGGTGGGACGAAATCGGTTGTGGTTAACACAAATTGGAAGGAGAACGTCTCAATCGTGAAAATGTCGTTATTGAAAATCCGCGTCGAGTTTTTTCGGTCGACACCATTCACATACACCTGCCCATCCCCACTCAGCAACGCAGACCTTTCATCCGCAACACATACCCACACACTTTCTATATCAATAACAACGTTTGAGTTTTTCCGTTTACTCAACACATACCCCTCACCTATTCGTACTCGAAGTATACTCTCACCCTCTGTGTATGGATTTTTCCGTATTATTCCGATGTATCCCCCTTCGAGTTGTTCCATTACTGGTGAAGAGTTCTACAACTGATAAAGTGGCACTCCATGGTAATAATTTAAATATATAATAGTTACAAAAATAGTAAAAAATGGAAACAATCACATTAAATCAATCATTTAATTCAATTCTAGTGTTTTGTGTTGTCAAGGGAAAGTGGTTTTGAACTGCTTTCTTTTGCAGCTTTTACCTTCAATTGTTGTACAAAATCGGCCTGTTTTTGTCTCTTTCCAAAGATATCAAGTGCTGAAGATTGTTCGACTGGTTTTTGTGGGGCTCTTGGGTCTCTGTACATTCTTAATTGTTGAGTTGGCTTTTCCAAAAGTTTCCTTTCATTTTTGATGGTTTCAAACTTTTTCAATCGTTTGATAAGAATTTTTTCTTTCATCGATTTTGGTCGTGTTTCTCCTTTCACCTTTTGAACATGTAGGTCCTTTTGAAGTTTAGATTCTTGTTCAAGTTCAGTACGCATTTCATTAACGAACATGTCTTCCATCAAATTTTTTTCTTTGTCGGTTCTCATCTTTCCGACAATGTCTGGGGTCATCGTTATCATATCCGCAGGGATCTTTTCAAGCAAATTGCGGACTTCTCTTTCAGTGAACGCACGTTCCCCTTCATAGATGTTTTGTTCTCTGATATCAAATGCACTCGAACCTGAACCTGGAATCGGCAACGTGCTTACACCCTTGTACCTCCCAACAGCCAAGAAATCTTCAAATGGACAAAACGCAATATCAGCAACCATGTCCGATGGCGACAAACATGGCCGTTGACTGACTACCAACTGCAAGTTTTCATTATAAACATCAACAACAGACCCATGACTCATCGCCAACAACCCGCGCTGAGAATAGGCAACGCGATTCACCACCTCATCACATGGTATTCTGAGTGATGTGTTTTCTTTCAACATTCGTGTCTCGAAAAATCGGACATCGTTCCCAATAGTCATCGCTAATCGTCTGCCATCTCGTGTTGAAGCAAGTTTAGTAATTGGTTCAGAACCTGTCGCATATGCAACAATCGGTTCTTCCATATTGGGGGTCCACATCGTCAATGCACCTGATCGGTGCCCTTCGATGATCACTGCATTGTACGGGTTTTGTACCATTGAGGTGACAATTGATTTGGGGTAACGCTGCGCTACTATTTCTCCAATCGAAACATCAAGCCATGAGAGAACAGGCTGTTGGTCTCGAATGGAGTCGATAGCCAAGAGAAAGTGGTACGGCAAAAATTGCAAATATTTAGGGTTGTAGAATTGTTTCAGGGTATGGAGGTTAGTGGTCGAATCATCATAGATGTGAAGATATTTCTGCGAGACAGCGTACATGTGGAACGTGTGGAGAAAGGTGAAATCATTACATTGTTCACTTGCTACAAATTCAGAGACTAACTCTTGCTGCTTCCACTTCATCACACCGATGTGGCCATACTTTCCACATATACCAAGATGCGACCCATTTCCAGTAAACCGGGTCATATAAGGGCCACTTGCCAAGCTCAATGTGATCACTTTTGCCTTTGTCTGTCTGTCTAAGTATGGCATAACATCAGCAATGTCATATTTCATTGGAGCGATTTTTTCCGTCTCTTTTGGTTGCAAATAATTTGTGAGCGTTCGTTTGGATGAGTGATCAAGTTTATATGCAGTTTCTTTCTGCGCTATGTGATTCAATGTTTGATTCAGAGCAGAACTCTTCTTGAAATTGTATATGGTTCTTTGTTGTTTTTCATTAATTGCATTTTCTTTTAAAATATGACTGGTTTGTATCTCGTCTTTGTCCATTTTTTGATTTGATTTTTTAATTGAAGTTGGGGTTTCAAAAGGTTTTTTTTTCAAAAGAGTGTGGGAACAAAAAGAGTTTTTTGCTTTTTTAGTGATGAGTTTTATTGCATTTTTTAATAATTTGGTATAATTCATTTATAACTAGTAAATAGTTTATATGTTTGATAAACTAACAAATAGTAAATTAAACGATTTATAGAATGGAATGTATTGGAACATATCAACTAAGTGGTCAAACAAGCTGTTTCCGCTTTCCTTTTAACACAGAGAAAGACGTGGAATGCACTCACACAAACTATTTCATGACAAAAGAATGTGATGATCATCAAAATTGTATTTATAGCGAAGTCAGAGGTATTCCGTTGCACGGACAGCATGTCGCGGCGTCGGCCTACGTCTTTACAAAGAACGAAATCACCAAAGACAATACCCCCATCTATTTTGAGTATGACGAACCACCCACACGTTCCCTCAAAGCAGTAGCAGACACGTTTTCCATTCTCGAGTTAATTTGTTTCTTTTATCTCACAAACACGCAAACGGACTAACAAACAGATTAACCAACCCATCGACCTTCCAATAAAACGCCCACTCGACTCAAATTAGCACAAAAGTGACTTTTAGTTCTTGCTTGTTGAAAATGGTTTTTTAATAGGAAATATAGTATATATCGATAGTATTTAATACTAATAAAAAAATGAATAAGAAGGAACTCGAATAAATAAAGAAGTGGATGAAGAGAACACCACAACCAACAGACTGCATACGCGATTATATGGGACAATTGATGGAATGGACAAACAGTTGCGGATTTGAAGAGATCTACAACAACACATCAGGGAAACGCCAAGCACGCACCGCGAAGGAATTGAATGCGACAATCGACGGAAAGGATCGCCTTTTATTCATCATTGTAAGTAACAAGGGCAATGTGTTTGGCAGTTACAATTCGACAAAAATACAACCAGACACTGGCGCCGTTTGGGACGACCCAAACCACTTTGTCTTCACGTTGCAAAACCAAATGAACATTCGCCCAAGAATATATAAGCGTCGCGTGGAAGGAATGTGGCCAACATTATGTCTGTGGAACGATGTCAACGCAGAGAACGTTGTGACAATCCCAGGGTTGTGCGACGTCTCAAACGCACTGAAACCCAATTTCGTTTACAAGAATTTTGGAAACATATACCAAGACGACGGCGATGGATTTGAAGTCTTCTGTAATGGCGAGATTCGTCTCGAGAAAAGAAGCAATGGCGCGTTCACAAGCTTAAACTCCCTTGTTGTGTTCCAGATGAAGCCGTTTGGTAACTTCTTGCGAGTCAAGGCGTTTAATAATGCCAATGTGAACATGGGCGAAGTCATTAAAAAGATGAACCAATTTGGGAGATGCCACGTCGACTCGGCGGGGAACTCGTTTGTTGTCAAATTTGAGAATGCGAATGATGCGGAGAGATGCTTCAAGGAGAGGGAAAACGTCATGAAAGACGGATTAAATGTCCAAATAATGAAGTGAATTGTGGGATTGCATGTTTAAGGTTTAAAAAGTAAAACAAAAATTAAAGAGCGTTTTTGATGCACCAGTCAAAAAGTTCTTCGATGTCAGGGACAGACTCGGTTGCGGTGTGGATTGAAAAGTGTGGATCGATGTTGGGTAGTTCTGCGCATTTGCGATTCTGTTACTCGTTGCTCCGTTTGTGAGTTTTGTTTGTCCGTCTTTGTGAGGACAAAAGCTACAGAACGATTTGTGGTAGTCTCTTCTGTTTTCAAAGTTGCTTTTTGTGAGTCTTTTGACCATTTCAATTGATAGAGAAACACTAACTTAAAGCGGAAAAAGATTCATCCAGGCGGGTTGGGTCAGAAGAGTCAATACAATAGATGATCACATTACTCTCATCAATGTATCGATTCCATACACTTCGGAACGAAGAAGTACCTCCAATATCCCACAACGAAATTTGAAACCCGCCATAATGAACTGTTTTTGCATTCACACCTATTGTCGACATCTCATAAATTTCTTGAAGCGGAACTTTGTTCAGTATCGAAGAAACATACTCCTCAAAATATGTTTTGCCCGAACCATCCAATCCAACTATCATTATATTTAGAGAAGGATCAGGGGTCTTTTTACACAAAGAAAGTAACTCCCGTGTGAGAGAAATCATTCTATTATTGTAGATTGTATAATAGTTTTTTTGTAAGTTATTTCTTTTGTTGGTGTTAATTCAACTTAATTATTTTATTATTATATTATTATCAAAATATAATAAAATTCTGGCGGGCTTGTTATAACTTTTAACAAAAAATTGTTATTTGATTAAAAAATTTCTATGTAATAAAATAGTTTTAATAACGTTTTTAATTTAGAATTTGATAAAAGTGTTTTTATTTTTCTTATTCTATTATATTGGAAAAACTATATAAAATTGTTAATTATTTAATAATAGTATAATAACTATTATCTAATTAAATATTTTAGAAATTATATCCAAACTATTAAACTATATTTCACATCTCTAAAAGTTTATTTTTTTAAAATAAAAAATGTAGTTTTTCTATTATTTAGACCCTATTTTAAGTTTTAAAAAAGATTTTCAAAGACCTTTAATATCCTTTATTTAAAAAGTCGACATAAACAAACCAGAATAAAATACTATTAACAATGAGAAACAAATAAAAACAAAATAATATTTCAAAATGAATTTTTACCTTTTATAATCTCGTGTTCTTTAATCTTTTAATAATCATAATGACAATTAAAAATCAAACATTTTGAACATATGGTAAATAAAATCAAAGGAATACTATAATTAACTATTATATAATAATAATTCCAAAACTCAGAAAAAGTTATATTTACCTATTAATTTTTGTAAAAAAATGGGAATAATTCCCATTTTTTTGATATTATTTGAGAGTATTATTTTTCTATAAAAAAAATATAGTAAAACTATAAGAAGTATATACTTTTCAGATAAGCAAAAACGAATGCCATACTTGCCTTAGAAGATTGTTATTACGATACTTTCCCGTTATTTTAAGTTATAAGAAGTAATATATTAAAAAACAACGTATTTTAGACGTTTTAAATAAATAATTAATTACCCAAAGTAATGCTAGAAAAAAAAACAAGTCAAATCCCGACAAAGAAGTCAAAGACGTTACGATAATAATAATCAAAAATATTGACTATTCATCATTAAAAAAATCGAGAAATTTTGGTCAGAGTATGGCGGAAAAAAAGGGTTATCAGAAAATAGTTCTGTATTCTTCAATGGAAGACATTGCACGGTTTAAGATAGCTGTTTGTTGTTTCAGACGACAGGGAGTGTAATAATGGATAGGTTGTCGGCGATTGTTCGGTTGGGAAGACGTGTATCATTGGACGGTTCACTTCGAAGAACTTTGACATGAGCTATGACGCAACCATCGGAACAGACTTTGTGACACAGTTGATGGAAGTAGACAGCAAAAAGATAGAGTTGCAAATATGTTTGTTGTTTCAAATAAAATAAAAAAAATTGTACAACGCGTGGTTTATTGTTGTTGAAGTGGTATTAAACTGATAGGGGATACTGCTGGCCAAGAGAGGTACAGATCTCTCATTCCAAATTACATTCGGGGGTCTTCTGTTGTGCTTATAGTGTATGATGTCAATGGTTTGCTTCTTTTTTAGGGATTTGAATGACTAATATGTGTTACCAATATAAGTGTATAGTCGTGGATATAGCTTTATTATTACAATGTTAATATTATCTAATCTTCAGACCGACAATCATTCAACAACGTTGATAGTTGGATCAATGAAGTACCTGAAAAAGACTCAACGCTTGTGTACTTGGTTGCAAACAAAATTGACAGTGACCAGCGCAATGTTACCAAAGAAGAAGGAATGAAAAAGTCGTATCAATTGAGCTCAAGGTTTATTGAGACATCTGCATTGAAAGACATAGGAATTGCCGACTTGTTTGAAGATATTGCAACAAACCTTGCGCCTTTGAAACCTAAAATAAATGAAGACTCTCTGTCTATTGACGAGACAACTGGAAAGGGCTGTTGTTAGTGTTCAAAGGAATAACATATTTTTGTATGATTGTTTTGTATATAGATTCTATTCTGATTTAAATACTTATTTATAATTATAAAACTAATTAATTATATAATTAACTATATAATTTATCATAATTCAAATTTATTATGATAAAGATAATGGAATTGGTCCTTATGGTAATATAAGTGTTTACTTATTATTAATATTATTTATATATAATAATATATAATAGCTTTTTGAAATAATTTTAATATTGTAGAATTTTATTCAATAATAAATTAATAAAAACAAGTAATAGTTTTGAAATGATTTTTGAAATGTTTTGGTACTTTTTAATAGAATTAATAATATTATACTTTTTAAATTATATAATAATAAAAATAATTAAATAAAAAATTATAATAAAAATTTTAAGACAAATTAACTTGAAAACTCAGAAGATCTAGAAAAAGCAATACGAGCAGGCGAAGTTGTTTTGTTGTTTTTGCCATTTATCAATAACTTTGATACACTGATTACATTTTCATATTAAGACTAACTTTGCGATTTTGTTTTTAGTTTTAAACAAAAGCCAATTACCCCTTAATTATCTTGATAAACTTTATAAGGGTCTTTTTTCGTTGAAATTTACACAATGGAATGATAACAAATTTAGTTTTAATTTATTTGAGATTTATATAATTAAACAATATTACTTTGTAACCAATCCCCTTAAAAAGGCTAGTAGGGCTATTGTTTTATATTCCCTTAAAACCCTTTATATTCTATAATGATTCTATTGTAAAGTATTTTAAGAAATAATTTGATAACTTATTTAATTATTCAAAACACTCTTGTTTTCGACTTTTTCTTGAATTCCGTCTGAACCATTCCAATAACATTTTCCACACAAAAACATAAGAACTGATATTTGCATATGACAGATTTGAACGAAGACCAACAGTTTCAAGACTTGGACAGTTTCCTTAATTCTCCTAAATCATCTAAGAAGGACGTTGTTGTGGAGCAAGCCGATCAAAAACCAGCGACTCTCATACTCAATAAGGACTTAATGGAAAAACCCCTCGAAAGAGTGTTGGGGTCGTCCGTTCCAGAAGCTGTAAAATCAATTGAAGGACTTTCCTATGTTCCTCCCCCTCCTTCACACCAAGAAGCTCCAAAGCTTGAACCGAAACACACTGATATCACTACTGATACTTCTATTGGGACGGGGCTTGTCATCTACATTGGACAACTCAAACCTGAAACAAACGAAGAAACTCTTAGACAGTTCTTTGAGCCTTTTGGGAAGGTCGTTTCAGTCGATATAATGCACCGCCCCGGCACTGGTGAATGTAAAGGGTTTGCGTTTCTCAAGTTTTCTTCACTTGAAGATGGCAACCGGGCAATTTGTGAAATGAACGAAAAGGAAATCAAAGAGCTTTCAGCGACTAAAGTAATTGTGAAGGTCTCTGCAAACCAAACCGTAAGACGAGAGAGACGCCCATTTTTCCAAACTCAGCCAACTCTTCAACAACAACCATTTCCAACACAATACCCCCCTCAAATGTACAAGCCGTATCAAATGCAACAGATGCCTCAACAAATGTTGTCACCACAAAACGTTGGGCAGCCGCAAATGAACCCACAAATGGCACAACCAATGAGTCAGCAACAAGTACCACCAAAGATGTACAACCCAACATCACAACCACAACCACAACAAACTCAAGTACAACAACAGGAATACATGCAACAAGGGCAATACCCAATGCAATACTGGCCATATATGTACATGCAAGGTAATCAGGGAAAACAAAAGGCAACACTCTATATTGCTCACCTTCCACAGAATTGCACCGAACTTACTATATACAGAAATTTCGCGAGATTTGGAGCGATCGAGTCGGCGAACTGTTTGTTTGAACCGAACACAACGGTGTGCAGAGGGATTGCTTTTGTCACATATTTTGATTCACAGGATGCTGTTCGAGCTCTGCAACAAATGAATAATAAAATGATTGACGGACAAATCATCAAAGTCAGATTTAAAAACCAAAAATGAGTCTTATTTTTGTTTGTTTTTTATTATGTTTTTTACTACATTATTACTTATAAATGTTTGATTTTGTTCTGATAAGTAATTATGGCTAAGCATTATAGTTTTTCCATTGATGAATATTTTTGAATTTTATTTCGTATTTGTTATTGAAATGTCTCTTGATTTTTTATGTTAAAATGAAGGAACAAAAAGAACAAGAAAGTGAAAAAGAAAGTGAAAAAGAAAGTGAAAAAGAAAGTGAAGGAGTGCATATAAAGAAGGTGAAACTTAGAGAAATCAACAAATAACAATGTTTGGTGTGTTTATCAGTCTCATTGTAATGTGTTTGGCAGAAGAAAGACTCGTGTACAAAAATGGGATCTTCTCGAATGGATATCAATTGAAGGCATCAACAGGTTACACCTCTACTACAGCTGAGTATAATAATAACATTGTGATATACATCATGCTCTCACAAAATGGATATGCCAATTTCAAGACAAGTGCGCCAATTGATATGACTAAATTCAAGTACTTGTCATTTATAGTCTCATGGGAACAAGACGGGTGCAATTTGGGACTTGCTGTTTCTGTTGGTGATGGACAGAAAGTTGATGTTACTGGAAGTATGGGTGTCAACAAACTCAATAGGATCTATGTAGATGTCTCTCAAAGCACTTTTAATACCACCTCAAGCACTTTTAGAATTTATAAGACAGACAAGACTGACTCAAATATTTATTTCAATGATGTCAAATTCACTTCTGAAAAGGGAAATGAAGGAGTATACTCCCTCTCCACTGATATGGATAACAATGATGGGTCTGTGATCTGTGTGATAGTAGCCTTAGCATTACTTGTCTTGGGTTTGTTCTAAGACTCTTATTGACTGCTTATTACTATTTTAATAATTATTAATACTATTTCATTGTATTATATAAAAATAGAATCAATTACATAGAATTGTTATAATTCTTTTTAATTAAAAAGTTAAAAATGATTATAAGTCCAACAATCAATTATTTTTTCTTGAGTCTGTATTTTCGAATTGCCTCTTTCATGTCTGCCTCTTTAAATATGTGTGGCGCGATCTCAACAAGCCACGCCGGATCAATTTCAGAAACTTGTCGAACGTATTCTTTTGTAGTCATGACGAGTTCATAAAAAAGAATCCACCGAGGAGATTTTCCATAGAGGACAGAACTTGGGTGGATTTCTATTGTTCGGTTTTGTCTGACTTGCCTGTAAACACCTTCTTTTGTGAGTTGTGCTGTGTTGAAAAAAAATCCGCTCAAGAGGGATTTAATAATCGATGCGTAGTCTTTTGCTTTGATCAGTTGAATGTCGACCCTTTCCATCAAATTCACGATTTGGTCTCGAATGTCTTCAGCTCTGTTGAGTGCCCGTGCTTGTATAAAATTGTCTCGACACCACCCATCACTTCTCCCTGCTTCAATCCAACTGTTAAACACTGTTAAAAGGGTAATGTGATCACCTTCGCCTCGAACAAAACTCTTTTTAGCAGTGTCTGCCAATTGCGCTTTCTCTTTTGGACGATAAAATAACTCTCCCGATACTTGAAGCATAGCACATATCGTTGCTATTTCCTCAGTGCACCCAAAACCCTCGGCTGATATTATTACACGTGCTAGAGAAGGCGCCATTGGAAACTCCGCCATCTTTCGACCCCGCAGCGTCAATTCACCATTTTGGTTGAACGCGCCCAATCCATATAACTCCTCTAAAGCTCTCATCATCGACTCGGGGCTTGGTGGGTCCATGAAATCGAAGTGGACGATATCGTCAATCCCAAGCGTTTTGAGCAACAGTATCACAGCAGACAAATTTGAACGGACGATTTCTGGTGGGGTTGCTGCAGGAAGTTCTTTAATGAAAGCTTCTTTGGTGTAAAGTCTATAACAAACTCCAGGAGAAACTCGACCAGCACGACCAGCTCTTTGGTCCGCTGATGCTTTACTAATTGGTGTAACTAATAGACTCTCCATCCCCGTTCGTGAGTTATACTCGTTGATCTTACAATACCCACAATCAATGACATACACAATCCCATCAACTGTTAATGATGTTTCGGCAATATTTGTAGCAACAACCACCTTACGAGCATTTGGTGGTGTTTGCGCAAATATTTGTGCTTGGATATCGCTTGGCAACGCCGAATATATTTTGGTAATGATTAACTCGTCGATTTTCGTCCCAAGACCGCGGGTCCTCTCTTTCAACATCTCGACACATTGCTCGACCTCTTCCTGCCCCGTCAAGAATATCAGAACATCTCCCTTTGGCATTGTTGTATGAATTTTCAACGTCGTTAAAACTGAAGCGAGTAATGGGTCTGGTTCAGGTTCTTTTAAGTATTCAATTGTGACTGGAAATCGTCTTCCGGGGACCAGAAATACAGGCGCGTTGTCAAAGTATTCCGAGAACTTCTGTGTTTCGAGGGTGGCAGAAGAAATGATGATCTTCAAATCTTCTCGAAACCGTGCGACGTCTTTTAAAAGCCCAAACAGAATATCCGTCGCAACTGTTCTTTCGTGCGCTTCGTCAATCATAATGCAGCTGTACTCCTTCAAATCGGGCGCATTCAAAAACGCTCGGAGTAACATTCCGTCCGTCATGTATTGTATCAAAGTTCGGTCGGAAGTGACGTCGTCGAATCGAATAGTATATCCCACGAGTCCACCAAGCCGGCATCCAACCTCTTCCGCAACTCTTCTTGCAACACTCATCGCAGCTACTCGTCTTGGTTGTGTTACTGCTATTTTTCCTGTTTTACAATACCCTTCTTCAAATAAATATTGTGGAAGTTGTGTTGTTTTCCCAGAACCTGTCTCCCCAGCAATTATGATGATCTGGTGCGAACGGAGTAATTTAAGAAACTCGTCTCGCTTTTTGTAAACTGGGAGAGTCTTCCGGACTTCAGATAACTCGTCGACCTTCGTTCGTTTGGAAGGCGCGTCAAGTTCGGCTGCTCGCATTTGGAGGATCTTCTGTTCGAAATCGTCAACATTTTCTTCGTCAAGCATTTTCTCAAATTCATTGAAGTTGTCACCTTTGCGGTCGTCAAGTGTTTTACCCGTGACTGCGGCTTTTGCCCTGGTTTCAAGCCATTCTGTGTCGTCGTCTTTTGTGTCGAAGTTTTGCTTTTCGACGACGCCTTTTGTTGTTGGTATGACATATTGAGGTGCGTTGATTTGGTCTGTTGCAATTCGTTGCTTCGCCAAATTGTAGATTTCCACTTTTTGTTGAAGGTCTTCCTTTTCCTTTGCAGTCAACTCGTTGTCTTGAAACATCTCTGCCTCATCCTCAATTTCGTCTTTTAACTCTCGCAACTTCTGAAATTCTCTTTTGGGGAGATATGCCTGTCTTGACTCAATACGTTTTTCATCGAGACTTTCTTTATTTTTGTTGTTAGTATCTGCCATTATAAATTTACGAGTTCTTTCATCCAAATTCCAATAAAATGATAAAAAAATGAAGAAAACGGTTAAAACATAGGAATGAACGATTTATTTTCCCTCGGCAAGTTTGGCTTTCTTTTCTTCAAGCTCTTTTTTACGTCTTTCAAGTTCAGCTGCTCTTTCAGCTCTCTTCTTCTCAGCTTCTGCTTTTCTTTTAGCAAGGGCTTCTTGTTTTTCTTTGATTATTTTCTCTTGTTCCTCTCTCGTGAGCTTTTTCTCTTCTTTGTTTTCTTCGACTTTTGGCTCTTCAGCTTTTGGTTCTTCCTTCTTTTCTTCTGGTTGTGCTGGCTGAACAGACTCTTCAACGGCTTCCGTCTTAACTTTTTTGACCTTCTTAACTTTCTTCACCTTTTTCACTTTTTTGACCTTCTTGTTGGACCCTTCGGCACCGTTCTCCTCAGCTACTTCCGACGTCGCCTTTTTGACTTTCTTGACTTTTTTCACCTTCTTAACCTTCTTTGTCCCAGAAATCTTTGTAGCGTCAGCTTTTGCCTTTTCGATGGCGTCCTTCTTCTCTTTGTAGCTTTGGTAAAGAGCCTGGATCTTTTCTTGGTCGGCATTTGGATTTGCCTGCATGACTCTGTTGAAGAAAGCAATTCGTTCCTCTTCTTCTTGTTGTCTTTTCATTTTTGAGTCTGAAATAGCTTTACTGATCGACTCCTTTCTATTTTTCTCTTCAAGTGCCTCACGTTCATATTGCTCTTGCTCTTTTTTACGCTTCTCCTCTTCTTTTTGTTGTTTAATTCTCTTTTGCTCTTCTCTGGCTTGTTTCATCTTCTCCTTACGTTCAAGAAGTTCTCTTTCTTCCTTCTCGTATTGTTCTTGTGCCTTGCGTTCTTCTTCTTCTTTCTTTTTAAGCATGGCTTGACGTCTTTCAGAAATAGATCTTTTCATTCTCTCGGCCTGGTCACGTTCTTCTTGTTGTTGTTTCTCGAAATCTTCTTGGATCTTACGTTCTTCTTCTTCTTTTTTCCTTCTGAGTTCATCCTTACGTTCGCTGACAGCTCTTTTAATTCTCTCAGCTTGCTCTCTTTCTTCCTGTTCAATTTTTTCAAACTCGGCAATACGCTTTTGCTCGTCCATCTCCTTTTTGGCTGCTATTTCAGCCTTTCTGTCTTCCATGAATTTCTTTCTTCTCTCGGCTTGTTCTCTCTCTTCTTGCTCAATCTTGGCATACTCAGCCTTTTCAGCGGCTTCACGAGCCTCCCGGATTGATTCAATTTCTTTACGACGCCTGTCGCGTTTTTCCTTTTCGATGGCATCCTGGTTTTGAAGGGCTAACAACTCGGCATTCAACATGTCTTCAAGTTCCTTCTCTTTCAGTTCAGAGGCTCTCATGATTTCGGCCTTACGCTCTTCGGCGTCTTGCTCAACTTCAATCTCCTCCAACTCATAGTCTTCGTCGTTTTTGTCTTCCTCCTCTTCCTCGTCTTCTTCGACTTCTTCATATTCGTATTCTTCCTCATACTCTTCCTCTGCCATCTTTGCTTTGTATCACCTTTTCGAGTTCGCCTTTTCTTTGTCGCCTCTTATTTTTGGCTTAATCTCTTATTTCAAATTGGAGTTTGAAGTACTTTTTCTAACTCTGTTGCCAACACGTCTGTTGTTACTATTTTTGAAACCGTCGGTGTTGTCCCTTTTTTCAAGTTTTGAGCGGTTATTTTTATTCTTTTCAAAAAACAGCTTTACAGGAGTCGACTTTCATTTCAAGTTTGCTTTTGGTGTCAAGTCCCAAAGTGACGGGAAATTTAACGATTTCAAGTATCCACTTTTATTTGGTTTGCCGATTCTCTCGTTCTATCTTTATTTAAGTTTGTTTTTCAAGTACTTTACTCGACTATTGAAGTGTATTTTTCAAATCGGCGATATTCCCTGTAAAATACCATAATTAGGGTTTACATCCTTTTTCAAAAACATTTTTATTTCTTATTTCTTTTTTGTTTTTTCTTTGTACGATAATTAAGTGCATAAGGTAAATAATATAGGGAATTGATTGTATTTGCTTCTTGTTTACTTTTAAATATCTGGATTCTACATCGAAATTTTAAACATGAAGTGGTTGGGGTGAGATTTGCTCAACAATTAATATGATTTGTTGAAAAAATAAACTTGTTCATCATTTTACTCTTCTCTTTGTAAAATGAAATACTTTGTTTTTGAATGGGATTATGAAAATCACTTTTTGTATCAACATATCTCTTGTCAGTGACCAAGTTTTATATGTTCAACTTTGGATATTGTCATACTCCAACTTTCATGTATGACAAAGTCAAAAAAAGACCAACAACAAATTCAACAACCTTTGTGGAACTGGTGGAATACTATAATAATACTTTACTATTAAATAAACCATTGTTTTTTTAACAGTACGCAATAGTAAAATAAGTTATTTCGTATTATAAAAAACAACGAAACGGTTTGATTACAGAGAATGGGTGTTATTTGATGAAAAAAGAAAACAAAATTGACATACACCAGTGTGTTAATATGAGCTCATCGGACTGGGTTTCGTTTAACACAAACACCTCTGTTTCGTCTTGCACTCTACAAAGTGCAAAAGAGTACCAAAAACGTCGAACCGTTCCAGCAAAGAAAAACAAAAAAACAAAATTTCTGTGTACCGACATTTACCAACATTGGGGACTTATATGGTATAACTTTACTAAAGCATTGACACTAAAGAAAGATGTTTTCAATGTGGAATGGAAGTATCGTTTGTCTTTGTATTATTCAATTCAGTTGCCTACCTTGTCGTTTTTATTATAAAAATGCCCGATTTATGAAAGAAAATTTGTTTGTCAGACATTATTTTTGGAATGAAAACGGCGATAGGCATGTTGTATTGGTGTAGACAGACTCATCGAAAGGAAATTCAACAACGATAACGTCAACATTTGTATCAAGGATTGTCATCACTACTCTTCCTGACCAACCTCGTAAAAAGGTTGACGTTGTTTTCGAGAGTAAAACACCAAACAAGCACACAACATGTGAATTAACAAAATTTGCAATGAATCAATACTTCAGGCATATTCCATTCACCGAGTCAGTCCATAACGACAAAACAAAATTCATGACTTCTTTCATCCCAAATCGCCTTCTTTTTGTATGCGGCAGATCAGTCATTCAAAACGAAGAGTATGAGGATGTGATATTTATTGTACACTTCCCATTCTTTGTGGAAAAAGTCGACGGATACAACGCGTCACTTGTCATGACATTATCAATGAACTTTCCAATCATCTCGACTTCACTTACAAAAAATCACTTTTTCTTCGAGACCCTCTATGACTCTCTCAACTTACTTATTTATAGATTCTATGTCTTGCACTTTTCGTCACAAAACGCACTCAACTACTTGACAGAATCCATCGCAAATCTCGTCGACTCGCTCGAAAAAACGTTCCTGACACTTTCATTCCCGAAACCCGAACTTGTGAATATCGAGCAGTTCATTGCAAAGTCACCAAAATCGAAGCAGTTCAAAGATAACACCGCATTCATCGCAAGTGCAATTTCAGCACACGTTCAGACATACACAACTATTTGTTTGACGAGTAGCGGACTGTGTGCAAGTGCATTCATGCACCTCTTCGAACCGTTTGATACCCCAGTCTTTGCTGGACACTTCTATCCTATTATGTTTTATCCTATCGTCCTCGAAACACCGTCGTCACTCTTTTCAGTCGTGTTCACACCAGAGCTTACACCAGAACAGTATGTGTATTTCCCGTTCCCTTTCTGTGTTATAGACCCCGCACAAAGGACAGTTCAGATATGTAACAAACTTTCACTTCCAATGCATTTTGACCAAAGAGCAGTAGAAATTACACGGTGGATGTTCTCCACACTGAGACTGGATGTCTCATTAAGGAGAATTCGACAAGCCTTTGCCCCAGAAGGATCATACGATTCCATCATCAGATCATCAAAACTATCGACATACTTACAACAAAGACTGGTCGGATTTTTTAAACTCGACTTGCACAGACAAAAAATGGTATTATTGAAATTGTCGGAAGAGCTTGGAATGAGAGGAGACATCTTTGTGAAATCAGTGGAGTATGGAGACGTCGATTTGGATGTGAACTTGGAGTGGATCAGATCATTCCAAGAGGTGTACGGGTGTGATATGGAAGGTTTTATACTTGTGCTGTCTTCTCTAAAACTGATGCACCCAGTGCTCATCTCGACAACACTGTGGATGATCCAAAAAAATTTTGACGATATACGTGTGAATTTTTCTTGACTGTTTTGTTTTTGTTTGTCATAGAGTTGTGTGATCCAACTTGTTCAAAAGTCATTATATCAACGACTTATTATATATCAAATATCAAAACGATCAATTATATATATTATATCAACTAAAGTCGTGTTTGATATAATTATATAACCAAAGTAAATGTTTCAAAACACACATAAAACACATCTAGTAAAATATATATAAATAACATAGTTATAAGTCGTATTTGCTTCGATTATCTTACTTTGGCAAATTGAGGTTTTATTTTCATCAATAAAACGGCAAATTAAAATAGTAGATTGCTGTAATTTGAGGTGATGTTTGGTTTTTTAGATTTGTTTCTAGACAAAATGTTTTTTATATATTATTATATTATAATATATTATGAAAAACACTTGGTTTTTAGACTTTTTAAACTTCAATTAGTATGGAGTTTTAGATTACCAAATAGACATTTGATAGATTTTTTAACTGTAGTTAAGTCATAATTACTGGTAAAATTACAATATTATAATAGTAAATTTATAATAAAAGATTATAATTAGTAAAATATATTTTGAATTTTTTGAATGATTCTTAAAACAATGATATTTGTATGTTAATCACTGTGAATTGTTGACTAAAACATATTGAGTTTTTTCGTTTTTTTATTTTTTAAGTTTGAAATTATAACAAAAAACATTTGGTGTTAAGTTTTCACCAAATAAAAGTTTTGCATTTATTTTAAGATTTTTTATGACTGTTTAAAATGGATATATCAATTTAGTTTATTATATCAAAACTATAATATTTTAACAAAAATAGTAAACAACAAATATTTTGGGTCTGTTTTTTGTCAAGAAATAGTTTCAATCCGTAAAAACATTCATTCTTCCCGAAAACGAGTAAAAAAACACCCTTTTGTATAAACGAAAGACTTATTGTTTTGCTAATTATACTTAGATAGATGTGTTCCTGTAAATTTAGTTATGTTTGACGTCCAAAAACAGAGCATAGAAACTAATAACCAAGTTCATTAAGGCAAATATGCTGAAATGGTGTTCTTATCAATACAAAATCAGCCAATCGAAATGTAACAAAAGTTCCCATTTTGTCGACTTAAAACGGGCCAATTAAGTTGAAAAAACATGGAATCCCGATTATCCCATCAAAGGTTCTATAAAATTCTCATTTTTTCGCACTTTGACCGTAACAGAAATTGAGGTTTTCACTATCAACCCGGCAAAGACAAATGAATATTACCACCCCAATAAAAATTCGATTAACAATTAATAATAATGAAGTGACCGACACCAATCATTTCCCACCTATTCAAAAATGCCTTGAAATGCTAAAATCAATTGGTGGACTGCAATTGGGGTTGTATAAGTGAACTGAGTAACTTAGTGCATACATTCACGATTAGAAATGGGCAGTCTGTTATCGCGGCTGTTTGGACAGAAAGAGGCGAACATCATCATGGTTGGGCTCGATGGCGCAGGGAAGACCACCATCTTGTACCAGCTGAAGCTCAAGGAACTAGTCACAACCATTCCCACAATCGGGATCAACGTCGAAAGTGTCAAGGTGGGTGGTGTTTCGTTTTCAGTGATGGATCTTGGCGGGCAGAGCAAAATCCGACCGCTTTGGAGACACTACTATGAAGATGCAAAGGCAGTTGTCTTTGTAGTAGATGCCTCAGACAATGAGCGGGTGGAGGAGTCAAGGGACATTTTGAACAAAATGTGCAAAAACAAGCTTCTTGAGAAATGCACTGTGTTAGTCCTTGGCAATAAGTCTGACGTTATTAATTGCTTGACAAAGGAACAACTTGAAAAAGAACTTGGAGTCAATGCACTTGCAGAGAAGCATGCCCTCCATATGGTGTCTGCCAAAAATAACACTGGAATCACCGAAGCGTTTACCTGGCTTGGGCAGAACCTATAACGCTTTATGTGATTTTGGCATTTCCACTTCAATTTATTGTTTTTTGTTGAATGTCTGTTTATGTTCTTTCCTTTTCTGTTCTAACTCCTTCAAATTACAAAATAGAAAGACAACAACTTACTAAATTAAAAACAGTATGGAAAAGCACTACACTTTGTCAGTACCACTGGATTAGAATGAGCCGAGAAGGCTTGAAAAAGATGTTATGGAAGTTATCATAATCGCCACGGACTAGCATGTCATCATACGTGTAACACCCAGAAAATCCTCTCCTGATCATTCCACTCCTTTCATCGTTGAGCGGACAGCTCAGACCAAAAGCAGAAAGTACACAATAGAAGTTGTTTGCTGAATAGTCGTTCTCGTTACAAAGATAAAGGCTCCACTCCGTGTTCATCTTCTCACTCTTTTTGAATTTACACATCTCGTCGTTGATTTTGAATACAAAGTAGTTGTTATCATTGACCCAATCACTTTCTTGTTCTTCTTGGGGTAAAGTCTTCGGGTGGAAACTGCCAAAAACTTCTCCTTTGTCCGTGATGATAATCCCCATCACATTTTGTCTTCCATAAATGACTCTCTGGAAGTGCGTTCTGTCGTACGGCATCTCGTCTGAGTCGTATAAAATGTCGTATTCACTCTTCCGAGTCCATTTGAACAGACTGCTCAACTTTTCGTCGGGAGTTCTCTCTTCGTTTTTAGAAGGCACGGCGTTCGTTTTGGACTGCATGTTCTGTTTTTCTCGAAGTTCTTGGGCTTTTCTGTTGCTTCTTTTGATGTCAACCTCCTATGGAGGCCTTTTCTTATTTCCATTAATTGTGTAATCTTTCCATAGTAATGATGCTGAATAGTTTATTTTACTATTGTATATAATAAAAAACAAAACAAAATGAAAAAGAACTTTCGTCTGTCTTTTTCAAGATTTTTCATTGAGTGACTCACCTCTAAAATGATATATTATAATGTATAGTTTGATAATCAGTTGTTTATTGTTGTTTTCTGGATAAGTGTTGCTTTATTTTTAAAACTGTTTACTTTCCTTGAAATTAATCAGAATAATAAACTTCATAAAACAAAAACACTGAAGGTTCGTTTTCTATTGAATATAATTTAGAACCAAAGGCAAAAAAGACACAAGTCTGACGTTGAGACAATCAATTCTTTTTTGTTGGATCTTAAAAAACGGTCGCAAAATCAAAAGACTGGGGATGGGAGACAAGTCATATTACAAGTTTACATGTTGTTTGTTCGCAAAATGAGCATTGATAAAGCAACGTCTGTTTCAATAACAAACTTAAAACATTTGCAGTGACCTGGCTTGTCGTGCTTTTAAAACACTTGATTTGACTTTGCAAAGTTTTTTTAAAACACACGCTTTTTTCTTTGGATTGAGCGTATTCCACAAAATAGTTTGCTTTTGCATAGTTCAGTTGTAATTCAAATAGAAAAACGGCAACCAATATTAGCCCGACCTGTGGTTTTCTTTAATTTTTGAAACAGCATTTTTCGATATAGAAAAGTGCTGTTACTTTTCGATATTTTAAAAGACTAAAAGTAACAGCACTTTTTGTATGGTTAATTTTTACTATTATAGCTATAAATGTACCATTTCTTTTCACCCCAATTAATAACAGTTTGTGAAATAGAAACAAAAAATCTGGAAGTGAAGTTCGAAGAAAATTGGGGACGTCTCTTGATGTTGTCCGATTGGTGCCTCATTTCCTCGTTTTTAATCGACAGCATAAATAAACCTAACCCAACAAAATGAGATGAGAACAATTTAAAACTATATTTTCTGGCCATAACAATGTTGATGAATATTTAGAAAATCTTATTAGATTATAAGCACCCACGTGGAGTGTATATATTTAGAATAAGTTTTCATTTCAGATACTTTTTATCCAAATTGCAGATTTTTCAAAAAGCAATTTGATGTGGTAAACAAAGAGCAAACTATTCTGGTCAATAACTTTTACCAATAACCTATTTGTCTTGACAAAAATAATATCAAGAAAAGATAAAGAGGAAAAAGTGGCATTCCCCAAGAGAATAAACAGGACTAGACCACACGAATACGTATTTGCTTCGACCGGCTTACTTTTGCAAAATTCGGTCTTATTTTCCTCAATAAAACGGCAAATTGGAATAGCACATTGCTTTGGCAAGACCACTCATTTAAAAGAAAATGTGAGTAATTTCCAGCAAAAAAAACGTCAAAAACGGGAAACGAAGTTCGTCCATAATGAATCGCGTTGGTGCACATTCAGTGCACTTTTCTACAAAACCCACGAACAAAAAACGAGGAAGAGCCATCTTTTCTTATAAAAATTCGTTTGCCCTGGAAACCGAACCTCCTTTGCAAAAAGCACTCGAAATGGAATTTGCAATGAGCAAAGATCCCAAACAGAACAACACCCGAGAAAAGGAGCTTAAAAACTATTTCTCATATCAACAGGGTGTTGTTGTTGCACTCGTGAATCAGTTTTACTCCATTGAGCTGGAGCCTGCAAGCAAAGCGTCTTTGGTGACGGAGACATCTCCCAAAATATGTTCAATTGTGATCGAAGGCGAGCATATCAACATCAGGAAGAAAGCAGAAGAACTCACGGCGCAACTCACTAAACGGACAGAGCACAAGCGACCAAAAGAAAAAACGATGAAAAGGAGGTTTGCAAAAAGTTCATCAGTTTTTGTGAATAACTACATGCTTGATATTCTTCGCGAACACAACTTCTTTTTCAACTCCACATTGTCGAAAAAATCGAACAAAACGTTCCAATTAGAGCGGCTCGATGCTATTTTTTATAACGGGAATTTTGTCATGGGTGCGACAAAAATTGGAGAACTTGGGAAAGAAATCAACGACTACCTCAACACGTTGTGCGAGAACAAAAAGCGAGTTGTGCTCGAGCGCAATAACCCTTTCATATTCGCCTTCTTGGCAAAGGACGAGGCTTTGAACAAGCACGTCCCGTTCTTTCTGTAAAATAACGACAACCAGGTGCAATAAATCATTGTATTGTATTTTCGGCGTTTTGTTGTTTTTGGATATATTTCCAGCATTTTAACTTGCCATTTTTGTTCTCGTCTTTTTCAATTATATCCATTGTAGACAAATTCTATTTTTTCTAGTTATTTATTATTCAATTCGAGAACAAAGAACGACGAAAATTTATTTTTTGTTTGGTTAGCAAAGAGCAAAGATAGTAAGTTCGCATTTTCAGGCAACTCCGTTATAAATCGAGACTAAAATACGGGAAATAACACTAATAATTACCAATCAATAATAAACGGTTATTCGCATCCTGTTGGTTTCAATTCAAAGACCAAGATATTGGTTCTATCTGTTCAAATATACTTGACGTATTCTTTTCGACGTTTTTTTCACCAGTATCTTGTTTTTGACACATTTTTGGGAAGATATTTCTCATAAACTCAATAATTGGGGTGAAATTCCAAAATAGATATAATTTATTCGATCTACAGTTGGGCCATTAAACCTTCGCCCATGAAATTAACCTTAGCCCAAAGAAAAACTAATTATTTTCTATTGTTATATTAAAATAATAAACTATACCTAAATAAAAGTCAATTTTCTTAAATATTTGTTTTTTAGTAAAAACCCGTGTTTTTAAAGAAAAATATAGGAATTTCTTTGGGCTAAAGTACATTTCCTGGGCTAAGGTTCATTTTCCCTACTGTATTGCTTAACGTTTTATCCTTTTTTTCCATATTTTATGACAAACACTCAATGTTTTTTGTTTTACTAGTAATTTTTAATTCTTAAATTACAAGTTATTAAAAAGTTTTCAAATACGAATAAAACTACCCAAGAGTGCGGATATGCCGTTTAAAAACAAACAATACTAATAGTTGAATAATAACGTTTAGCATTTAAAACTATAATAATATTAAAACGACTTTAGTAATGAAAAATCGGATAAAAATATGTATTTTTGATTGTGTATATTAGTGGAATTATTCGCAAACATACGGGTAATTCACTCAAATAAAAATAAAGAGGAATCATAATATGTTTAATTATGAGAATCAACTTTGAAGATCAATGAAGTCCGCACCGTCTCAAAAGCGTCTCTTAGTGATCGGAGGCCGTCCTACTATTAATTGGTACGACCTCTTTAAAAACTGCAAAATAGGAAAGGCTGAGTTAGTCGTCGAGTTTTCGATGTGGGATGAGATGGTCTTGACAAGTTATAGCGATAGCGGATGCATAGTTTCTCTCCAACCAAGCAAATACGCCATTCCAAACACTCCAATGAACTCAGTCCGGTCTTTTCAACCAGACTTTCTTCTGATTCGTGGTGCTTGTATGGGTGTTTTTGGGCAAAATTGGAAAAACACCCTCTTAGGTTTTATGTATTGTAACATTCCTTCCGTCAACACATTGGAGTCTCTCTACAACTGCTTAGAAAAGCCTGTCATTTACTCCAAATTGCTCAAGATCCATAAAGAGCTTGGTGACAAGTTCCCATTGATTCCACAAACGTATTACCCCTCATGGACGTCGATGAACTTCAACACCGGGTTTCCTCTCGTCGCCAAGTTAGGGACGGTCCACGCCGGGTTTGGCAAGATGAAGTTAGAGAACCAGGAGGACTTCGACGACTTAGTTTCGTTGGTTGCTATGCAGGATCGGTACATTACAACAGAGCCTTACATTAAGTGGGACTATGACTTTAGAATCCAGAAGATAGGAAATCATTACAGAGCCTTTCAGAGAGTCTCTTCGTGTTGGAAAGGAAAGGGGATGAATCAGACGGACAACGACGTTCCTTTGAGTGAAGATTATAAGCGATATGTCGACCTCGCTTCTAACGCACTTGGCATGGACATTTGTGCTCTTGATGGGATACACGACCCAGTAACAAACAAAAATTACATCATCGAATTGAACGACTCTGCTGTCGGTCTCGTCACAAGGCATACCGAAGAAGACTTGAAATACATCAAAGAGTTAGTTTTACAAAAGATGATTGCTCTTTGGAAATAATCTATTTTCATTATTCGTTCTATTCTTACAAAGTATATCATATCTCTCTTAATACAACAACTACGACTAACACATTTATTCCTTTTTATCATTCTCGCTCTTTGTACCTAAGGTAGACGTTGAACACGTACTTTGTGAAGTTGAATCAGTACTGACATGTGCAGAAGAAACGCTTTGTGGCACATCACGTGGAGTATTTGTGGTAGTATGGACGTTTTTCGTCAGCTTGTTTAACTCCTCTCTGTCAATCCCTTCATACCTTTTACGCCAAGGTCCTACCTGTGATTTTTTGTTTGAATAAAAAAGCCACAAAGTATCAACAAAAAAAAAACAAACGTGATTTGTCCAAATTACCAATTTGGTTAATTAACGCTTTAGCCTTTGTAGCCTTTTCCTTCAAATCGTCTTGAATTGTTGACTGTGCGTCTTCAACCCGTTTATTGTCTTTTTCAATATAATGTTTCAAATCGTTTACAAATTTTTCGAATACATCGTTTTCTTCAAATTTAAAGATATTGTACACATCCTTCCCATTCCTTTTGAACTTCAAACAGATGTGATTATTTGTCACACCCAGATCAATCCCACTTTCAGTCGGATCACACAGCGTGAGTTCAATCAGAAAATATTGGTTGTAACATTTCAAATACTTGGTCTGGTCAGAAAGCAACAGAGCAGTATCGACGAATTCACACACTATCAGCATCTTATCGTACATTATTAGCATCACTTCCATTGGTTTTTTGTAATTAACAAACCACGCTTTTGTCAAGTCGATAAAGATCGTTCCATCTTCAAAGAATTGGTTTTGAAGTCCTGTTATTCGACCAAGTATTTCTGATAAGTCTTGATATTTCTTTAACTGATTTGTCATCTTGTCGACTTGATGGGACATAACATGAATCTTTTGTATAGCAATTTCCATGTTTTTGATGTCGGGATGGCAAGCTGGTGTGGCTTTGTACACTTGTTCCAACAACATTTCGTATCGCATGACTCTTTGAACTGGAGTTATTGCCAAAATTGCCAAATCAGTGGCGTTCATGGTGCTTGTCTTGTATTTTTGGAGTTCTTCTTGCACCCATTTTTTGAATTCCGGTTTCTTCTTATCCAAGTCGATCTTGGCCTTTACTTTCAAATTGAACTTAGCTACATAATCCATATACATCTTGAGTAAAGGGCAGAAGGCAATAAAGAAGTTAGCAACATTTGCATTCTTATAATCACTCGACCACGTTTTAGTTTGCTCGAGAAACAATTTGCTTATATTGTAAACAGTGTCCAAACCATCAAACAATGATTTCCTTTCAGGTTCAGTAAGAAGTTCGCATTTACTTAAGATCTCCAAGATTTCTATAATTCCAAAAAAGGTTTGTTCTGTTGTGACTATTTCTTCAACAGCAAAGGCTCTTCTATTCATTTTGTATGCGTTGTGTTTCTTTGTGGTCTCCCTTAAAGCCCTCAAAATAACAAGGGACGCATAATCTTTGCGCATCTGCTTTTTGACTTCTTCTATAAGTTCAATATCCATTCCATTGATCACATCATTTGATTCTATAAAGTCCTTTGGTTGTGTCGAAGTCGCTATAATAAAGGCATCACGGTGAGCCACCCCATTGTGCACTAAATAACGCGCAAACATAAGAGGAGACCAAGTTCTTATATCCATCACATAATTGTACTTGTATTTGAATTCTTCAACCAACGTTTTGATACGTTTCTCCCTCTTTTGTAAGCCACCCACAAGATTAGCAAGCTGTTGACGATTCAATCCTAAACTGGGTAACTCAGCCTTCTTGAACATATCATTCAACTGTTCAACTTTGTAGCATTGCTTGGTGACAATTGTCGTCACTTCATCCAAATCTTCTTTAAAGATGCTTTTCAGAAATTTGTTGATATCATTTTGAAATGTCATTTCTGATAATCAAGACTAGTTCATTATTTAAAAAACATTCGAAATTCATTATTTTTTCCTTAAACTAGAGAGTTTAATTATAACTAAAATTACTTGCAGAACACAATATTTCAATAACTCATTTTCAATAGTTTACGAAAAATATGTGAATCATACATGTTTAATTTTATGAATCCTTTATATCTCTATTTAGTTGTCCTTTTAATTAATTATTTTATTTATAATTAAATAATTTCTTCTCTTTTTACTAAAAATATGAAAGGAAATAATAACAGATATTATTATCTCCATAAAACAATGTTATATATAACAAAATATACACAAAGTGTTAAATGCATAACTCGGGATAGTCATATATTAAACCGACATCAGAGGTGAATTGATAAGACCCGTCTCTCCACCGAACAAATAGCGTGTCATTGAGAAGTGATTTACCTATAATTTTAAGGGGAATGTCCGAGTGTGAAAACTCCTTGGTATACTTTGTAATGAGTGGCTTGTATTCGCTATTTTCCAAGTCTTCTTTCTTCTCCCACGTTGACTCGTTGTCACTCCACCAAACTTGATATTCCGTTATTCCCTGAAAATCAATTATGTACCATAGAAATTGCTAACAAACGTTTTGAATGTGATGGGCTTTTATTGTTGGGTATTCCATATGTATTTAGTAGTTGAAGAAGTTCATTTCTAATTATAAATCTTCAATTATAATTTGCATCCACTCTTTGTCATATATGTTTATGTTCTTAGAAGAAAAAACAATGATTTGTTGTGTGTTAAACAATGATATGACATATTTGCCATCACCCTCCAGCCTTCTTTCGATTTGATTTTAAATTACAAACTCTTTTATTCATTTATAGTTGTATTGTATAGTATTTAATAATAACGATGTATTACTCACATTACCACATATACTTTATATAACTCAAAATGAACTACTCAAAACACATTAATCAAAGTACTTAAACAATGGAACATCGACTCTTTCCCGACTGTTTTTGCTTTTTTGGTTTTGCTACCTTTCCACTGACCCCCTCTCTCTCAAGATTAACCTCGCCTCCATCGACTAACTCCGGCATAATATCTTCAACATATTTCTTTTCTCTGAACGAAAACCGTCTACTCTTTTGTGTCTTCAGTCTGTCTTTTTCAACCATTTCTGAATTGACTGTACTGTTGACCTTCTTTGACAAATGTCCCATCGTCTGGTCCGCTTTTACATTCTCTTTGACTGGAGTTCCTGGTGTCGAAAATGACACACTCGACTTGATTGCAGACGGATAGAACAGCGTTTGTGATTCTTCAGGTTGAGACGACGTTACAACACCCCTTCGCTTTGTTGGTGTGGCAACAGGTGTTGTTCCCATCACAACACTTCCTTCTTTCTCCTCGATCTTTCTCTGGACAGTGTCTGACAATCTTGGACTTCCCACTGGCGACTTAGATCGACCGAGTGGACTGATGAATTGCGACTGCGCAAGTGGCGCTACTTGTCTCTTTGCCGTCTTTCTGTTTTTCTTAAGAAGTCTTGCCGCCTTTTCTTTTTGATACCTTTCCATATCCTCCCGCGCTTTCTTGTTGCGCTCTTCCTCTGCATCTTTCCTTTTTTTCTCAAATTCCTCACGACGGGCTTTTTCTTCGGCTTCTTTGCGTGCAATTTCCTTGTCTTCATTCTCCTTTCTCACTCTCTCCGCCTCTTCTCTTGCCTTTCTTTCTTCTTCAATCGCTCGTTTCTTTTCTTCAAGCTCCTTCTGTTTCTCGTCTTCAATACGTTTGAGTTCCATTTCTTTTTCATGTTGTTGTTGTTCAATCAATTTCCTTTGATTCTCAAGACGCTCATTCTCTTCAGCCAATTTCCTCAAACGCTCGTTCTCCAATTTCAATTTCTCGTTTTCTTCTTGTCGCCACTTTTCCTCGGCACGACGCTTCGCCTCTTCCGCTTTCTTCTCGTCTTCTACACGCTGACGCTCCTCTTCTATCTTGCGTTTCTGTTCTTCAATTTCACGTTTCTTTTCCTCTCGTTCTTTGCGTTCCGCCTCTTCCTTCTCGCGCAGTTTTTGTTCTTCCCTTTTCCTGTTTTCTTCCAAAAGTTGTTCTTGCTTCTCGCGTTCTTTGCGGGCTTGTTCCTCAGCAGCCCTCTTTTTCGCTTCGTTCTCTTTCTCGATTCTCATCCTTTCTAATTTCTCCAACATAGCTTGGTGCTCAGCCTCAGCAGCTTTTCGTTCGTTTTCTGCTTTGATACGAGCAACTTCCGCCTCAGCCTTTTCTTTAGCAAGTTGTGCTGCTTGTGCTTCCGCCTCTGCTTTTTCTTTCATCATCTTTTCAGCTCGCTCTTTCACTTCTTGTTCCATTTTTTCTCTTGCTATCCGCTCTTTTTCAAGACGGTCTTTTTCTTCTTGTTCTTTTCGGAGACGTTCACGTTCAGCCTCGGCTTTCGCTTTCTCCTCAGCAACTTGCAGTGCCTTCATCCTCTCTTTTTCTTCTTTCTCTTTGTGTTCCTTTTCAGCTCTTTCTTTTTCATTGGCAATTTCCATGTCAACTAGTTTTTTCGCAGCTAATTCCTTGTCACGCTTCTCTTTCTCGATCATTTCTTGTGCCAACCGTTCTTTTTCTTTTTCTTCTTTTTGTTTCTGCACAAGGCGCTCTTGTTCAGCTTTTTCTTTTGCAATTCTTTCTTGCTCAATTCTTTCCTTCTCAATGCGTTCCTTTTCTATTCTTTCTTTCTCGAGTCTCGCTTTCTCTATGCGTTCTTTCTCTTCTTGTTCTCTGAGTTGTCTCAGCCGCTCAGCGTCACGTTTGGCTTCTTCTTCAAGTTTTGCCTTTTCAGCCGCCTCTGCTTTTGCTTTTTCTTCTGCCAATTTTGCAATTTTCAATTTCTCGAGCAATTCTTCTTGTTGTTTTCTAATTTTCTCTTCCTCGGCTTCACGCATCTTTCTCTCATTTTCCTCCCTCTCTTTGCGCTCGTTTTCTTCTTTAAGTTTTTGAAGTTTTTCTTCTTCAAGTCTTTGAGCTTCTTCTTCACGTTTTTGCCTCTCAAGTGCCTTTATGGCTTCAATTCTCATCAGCTCTTCGTGCTCTCGCTTCAGTCTCAACTCTTCTTTTATTCTCTCTTCTTCTTGCTTCTTTCTAAGTTCGTCAGCAGCCTTTCTTTTTGCGTCTTCTTCTTCTCTTCTTATCCGCTCACTCTCCTCCAATTTCTTCCTTTCCTCCTCGAGTTTTTGTTTCCTCTCTTCTTCAAGTCTTTCTTTCTCTTTTTGTATTCGAAGTTTTTCGGCTTCAATTCTCTTCTTTTCGTTCTCAAGCCTGACACGCTCTGCTTCTGCTTTTTGCTTTTCAAGTTCAGCCTTCGCTTTTGCTTCTTCAATTTCGCGTTTAATACGCTCTTCTTCTTCGATACGTTTTTGCTCTTCAAGTCGTTTACGTTCAATCTCTTGTCGTTCTCTCTCTGCCAGTTCCGCTTTACGTCTTGCTTCCTCTTCAGCTCTCCGCTTCTGTTCCGCTTCAATGAGTCGTTGTTCTTCTTCCATCTTACGACGCTTTTCCGCTTCAATTTTACGTTGCACATCTTTGTCTTCATCGTCCATATCGTCCAAGAAAAACGCAATTGGTATCGGACCATTCTCACTATTAATATGACCACTCTCATCCATAATTTCAGTGTCAACACCCATCTCAAATCGGGGAGAGTGTCCGTCCATTTCGCCAAGCATGCCATACTTTTCCTTCTTTTCTGCCTCTTCCTTTGCTTTCATTCTTTGTTTCGATTTGACAAAAACAGACTTGTCCCCGTTTCCAGTCGTTCCACTCAATTTCGTGAAACTAAGGAAGTCGTGTGAATCTTCTTCCACTGGGTTCATGGGACACCTGACATGTTTTATTGTGCTCTTTCTTGTTTCATCAAACTTATCCATAAATCCATTTCTTCTGGTCGCCCACTCTTTGAATAAATCGTCAACAACAGTCTTATTTTCCCACTCCAACATCTTATATGCTCTTTGACTTTGATTCAACGAGATCTCACGCGCTTCTGGAATTGTGGGCAAAAAGTCGGTAATATCGACAATCACATTAACAAGTTTATATACCTCTCTACGCTCTTTACGCCACTTCTCGCGCTTCTCTTGGAATTCCTTTTTAACCTCCTCTTGTTCTTCTCTGAGTCGGTCTTGGATCTTCTGTTGTTCGTCGACTAAATCACTCAATTTCTTTTGTCTGTCAAGTTCAATTTGCCTTTTCTCTTCACGAACTAATTGGTCCAATTTAGTGTTATCTCGGTGTAATTTGTCGACAGCGTCAACGTCCAGATATGCGTACTTCTTCTTTCGCTCTTCCATTTCCTTCTCGAAGAGATCATCTTCCGGTTTTGATGGAGCAGCACGTGCCTTCTTCTCTCTCTTAGGTGCCTCAATCTTAATGTCCTCCACTTCTTTAATAAAGTCGTCGTACGCACTCTTCTTTTTCTTTCGTTCTTCTTTATATTTTTTAGAGACAGTGGCTTCAACATCTTTATCTATAACAATATTAGATTTGGGTGCAGCTTTAGCCCCGATACCAGCAACTGTTTGTTCCACAAATCTGGTCTTTTGTTGTTGTGATATTTTTTTTCTGTTTTCGTTGATTTCTTTGAGTTTCGCCTCGATAGCTGCGTCCTGATTTGTTATCTGCTCGACTTGTTGATCGGTGCGGTCGTCAAGAATTTCTGCTTGTTCTTCCAACGTCGTCAATTTCGTCTCAGTGATTTTCTTTGCAAGTTTTTGGTCTTCAATTGCGTCTTCGACTTTCTGTTTTTCTCTCCGGGTCTGTTTTCTCTTCTCTCGCGCTTTTTTGTTTTCGGCATTATTCTTTTTGTGCGACTTGTCCATCGCCTTTTTCTCTCGACTCAATGTGTGATTCAACTTGGCTTCTAAAGCGTCTAACATTCGTTGATTTCGCTCGGTGGTGTCTGCTAATGTTTGTTCTGCTCTGTCTCTATCGACCTCAGCGTCGAAAGTCTCTTTTTCCAATTTATTGAGTGTTTCTGACAAGAGGTCGACTTCATCAAGTTTCTTTTCTGTTGATGCTTCGACTTCTTGTCGTTCTTGAATAATCATATCTTTGTCAACCTTAACAATTTTCGTTTGGTTTTGTACCTTTGCGGTTTGAATTTTCGCCTTTTCTGTTTGGTCACGGAGCGACTTGTCTCGTATTTTATCTTCTTGAATCGACTTTTCGATTTCGTTGACTTCATCTGTGGTGTTCTCGATCAATACACCAATTTTGAACGTGTCTTTTTTCACCTTTTTGAGTTGGTTATCCTTTTCTAATTGTTTATCTTTTAAATCGTTAATGTCTGTCACAAGCTGCATATTGATTTCTTCTCTTCTTTTCAACTCTTCTTGCTTCTCCTCCACTTTGAGTCCCGCGATTTTCTGTTTGACCAATTCTTGTTTGTGTATCATCTCCTTTTTCTTTGCGTCGAGTTTCTTCAAATCCTTTTGATAATCATTTTCAGCCTTTTGATTTTCGGATGTGAGTCGGAGCATTTCGGTCCGAACGACTTGTTTTCGTTTATAAGCGTCGTCGATGTTTGCTCGGATCTCCAAATTTCTTTTTTCCGTCTCTATTCGCGCTTGATCGATTTCTTCGTTATTCATGTTTGAGACTAATTGAATTCCTTTAG